TGCTTGAACTTGGGAGGCAGAGCTTGCAGTGAACTGAGCTCATGCTACTGCACTCTAGCCTGGGTGATGTAGTGAGACTCTGTCTCAAAAAATAAATAAATAAAATCAAATAAAGAAAAAAAAATAATCATTTTGTGTGTGTGTAAGGCACTGGAAAACAGATGGGGGTATGGGAAACAGAAATTTGGAAGTTCCACTGAAGAACTTTGGATTTAGGGAAAGGGACGGACAAGACTTATGGGGAGAAGGGTGACACATACGCCAAATCTTTCTAAGTCCTTTCCCTATATTGGGAGAAAGTACACAATTCCCCACAACAACTGCCTGGGATATGAGATAAAAAGAACTTTCGCTTTTAATATATTGTGGCTTTCAAAATGAAGCCGAGTTTAGATAGTGTCTTGTTTTTTCTTCCTGCCCTAATAATCTACTTGGTGACCCAATCTAGGTTTCTGAAGATGGCAGAAGTGAAAAAGTAAATATATGTGCCAAAGTCAGTGAGACTCTTGGATTATGTAAATGAGGTAGTGATGAGAATCCAGAATGTAGAAAACTGCTGATACTAGGGTACAGTAACTATTAGAGTCCTCTGCATCTTAGAAGTTACATATAAATATCACTGTGGTAGAATATTAATGCTACTGGGTTTGTATTTCTAATTTCTCTTCTTTTTCATTCATGTCTCATTGGGCCTAGCTCTCTAAGCATTTAAGACTTAGGGAAACCTTAATCTAAGGCTCTTTATTCATTTCAATAAACAAACTTACTGACTACCTACTAGATACCAAGTGATACAGATATACTGCTGAATGAGGCAATGTCCTTACTCTTGAGGAACTTATAGGTGAATGAGAAAAACCATTAACATGTATAAATAATTTTAACAAAACTGTTGGGAGAACACAAGATTGACTTCTCACTTGGAAGTTAAAAAATCACATATATTATTATTAATTCTAAATTTAAATCGACTAAATCCCCCAATCCAATGATTCAGACTTAAAAAAAAAAAAAAAAAAAACTTCAAGAATAAGACATTTGAATAGGGTTTGTAGGAATTTGGTGGATGGAAAAGGAAGAGATAAGATGATTCGGGAATGGGGATGGCTGTGGATAGAACACAGTGATACATGATATCCTAAGAAAGGAAAGGAGTGCCAAGAAATGAGGGTAGGGCTGGGCGCGGTGGGCGGATCACAAGGTCAGGAGTTCAACAGCAGCCTGGCCAATATGGTGAAACCCCAACTCTACTAAAAAATACAAAAATTAGCTGGGCATGGTGGCACATGCCTATAATCCAAGCTACTACTTGGGAGGCTGAGACAGGAAAATCACTTGAACCCGGGGAGACGGAGGTTGCAGTGAGTTGTGATCGCACCACTGTACTCAAGCCTCGGCGACAGAGCAAGACTCTGTCTCACAAAAAAGAAATGAGGGTAGTGAAGAAAATGCTGATTAACTGTGACAGCTTGAAATCTGGACACATCGGATCTCAGGCATTTGGAAGATGTTCAGGTAATGAAGTCACATGCACATGAACATATATAAGCTTGACTCAAAACCACCACCACCTCATCTTAAAATTTTTCCTTATTTGTAGCCAGGAAAAGGAACCCCACTCAAGTGGGGTTGCTGACAATCAAGGGTGTGACAAAGGAAGCACTAAGACTCATCTACAAAAAAAAGGTCACTTTTTTTTCCAGAAAAAGCACATTTAAAAGAGAACAAAAGATATTGCTAGAATGAAGGTAGGTTTGCCTTCTCATACAGGGAAAGGTATCTGTTCAACAAAGCAAGATACTTAGTAGTTAATGCCTCTCCTTAAAGCACTTGATACCCACAGGCTCATTACTACCTAGAGTTCCAAGAGAACAAACTGGTTTTGGATTCTAGGCCTTTGCTCCTGTTGTCTCTTCCACCTTAATTTTAAGTCCCAAGGTACCCTTCAGGACCAGCTCAAATGCATTCATATCTGTGCCTAAAATGCTCAAGCTTTTCTCAAAATGACTTAGCTACACACTAAAAGAGCGCCTATTAAACGAGCAAACGTATGACTGTCCAGAAGGATACCTCCCACTTTCAGCATGCAGGTGATTAAAAGTTACAGTTCATCCCCTGTATGTGAATACTGTTCAAAGAGCCTGGTGGACTACCCCCTACCAATCAGGAGCCTTTAAGCAACATCCCTGCTTCCATCTAGGCAGTCAATTCTTATGTACAACAAACCTAAAATATAAAGAAATGAGAAGAAAAACATACTGTGACTGTTTACAGTCATACAGCAAATTCCAAAGCCTTGTAATTTATCTAAAACGAACGGACAGTAACGAAAATAAAAACAACGAGCAACAACAAATCCTCACACACCCCTTAAGGACTTCTTAGGAGACAAGCTTCAAAAGTACACTGTATTACATACGTGCCTGAAAAAAACCAAGCAATGATGTAGAATATCAAATCAACAAAGGGAAAATAAGGTCTTTGTGTAAAGCCCATTAACTTGACAGACCAAATTCTGATTCACTTTCATCAACAGCCTTTAAGAAAGATCACTTCCTAAGGCAACCAATACAATTAAATACCAAAGCACACATGACACACAGGGTCAAAAAAGGGAAGACTATTATACTCTTAGAGCCAGTAAGAACCTTAAAATGATCTCTCTCACTTTTTATAGATGAAAGTGTTCACTAAGACATAGAGAGGTGGTAACATGCCCAAGAATACATGGCTAGAAGATCTGTTTTGTAAACACTTACTGCTGATTAGGCTCAGTTTCACTTTGCTGGGTGGAATTAAAGCTTTGCATGGCCTGTACTTCCTCTTCCTCCTCATCCTCACTAGAGGCTTCTTCTGCGGCATGATTAGACCTCGGGGGAGGAGCAGTGGCAGTGCCATCTGCCTTCTGGATTGATGGCTTCTGACAGATGTATTTGGGGTCTCTTCCAAGATTACAGATTTCTTCAAGTAACTGAAAGGCACAGGAAATAAGATTACTTATTCGTAATTAAGGAATGGGGAGAGGGGCACAGCTAACATATTTAGAGGATTTTCTGTGTGTTGTATATTTGCCCAAACACTTCATATACATGTTATATACATCATTCACAGAATATGTTCATTAATTCCATTTTATAAACAAGGGAATATAAGTGCTACACAGTTAAATAATTTGTTGAGGGTCACATGACGGTTTAAGTGACTGAGGATTCTGACTCCCTGTCCCAATTCGCCAAATACCATGAACTCATATACTAGTTTCAACAACAACTCTAAAAGCAAGCTGGTAGGGCTAATAAGGTGGGTTGGGGGGCAACCACAGAGATCAACAGAGACTAGAAAGGGCAATAGGCTTTTACAAATTGAATCTAAGCCATGTCTGTTTATCCATATCATGTATAAAAGAAATTATTATGTAGAGGTTTACATTAAATGGGAAAATTTTTTAAGTAATACAATTCTCTATCTTAAAAAAAAAAACTTTTTTTTTTTTTT